CCAGAACATCGCCGGGTCTGAGAGGTGAATGGAGGGGGGGGGGGAGCTGAGACCACAAAACCATTGGCAGAGGGTGACCGGCGGATTATTCACAAAGCCTTTCCAATGGATTGTAAGCTCTTGTGCTCAGCGTTCCGCCACCTTCTCCCCTCAGTCTCTGTTATTATATGACAGTTTTTGGCGGGTTTATAATTAACCTTCATATTGGCGATTGTAATAATGACAACGACAACAACATGCTTATTAATAGCAACTGTGTAACGATTAATCGGCATGTTATTATTATTATTATTATTATTATATAACAAGAACATGGTGATCAGTGATAATATAACATGGTGATCAGTGATAATATAACATGGTGATAATATAACATGGTGATCCGTGATAATATAACATGGTGATCAGTGATAATATAACATGGTGATCAGTGATAATATAACATTATGATCAGTGATAATATAATGGTGATCAGTGATAATATAACATGGTGATCAGAGATAATATAACATGGTGATAATATAACATGGTGATCAGTAATAATATAACATGGTGATCAGTGATAATATAACATGGTGATCAGTGTGTGTGTGTGTGTGTGTCACCTACCTGTTAGTCATGTTTAGCAGGACTTGCCTTATAATATTTCAACATTCTAGTTGAAAACAAGTCATTCTGAATGTGATTATGTTCTGTTGGGGACACCATGACCTGGAAATACTTCACAGACATCTAATATTATTATTATGATTATTATTATTATGTGCTTAGAATTATTATTCTTTCCATCCTGGTCTATGATATGCCCCCTCTTCAGCACACACAGAGGGGTACAGACCACGTGTGACCTGTGTACACACAATCTGGATGTAACTAAACAGAAACAACATTATTATTATTATTAGAAATACAAATTATTATTATTATTATTACATATTTATAATAATAATAATATTGTAATACGACAACAAGATTATTATCAATGATAATAATAATATGTGTCTGTGAAGGATTTCCAGGTCACGGTGACCCCAATAGAACATAATCACATTATATATAATAATTTCATATGATATAAGTTCTGATCTCACACACACACAGGAGGGGTACAGGAGGCCATGATGTGTGATCTGTGTACACACAATCCCGATGTAACATTGACCTGTAGAGGGTTTAATCCTTCTGTGTGTAGCTGGTGATGGTGTGAAATATTTGGGGACATTTTTCACATACCCTCCTGGTGGTGCTCAGCCTGTGTTGGCCGGGCTGTGATCCCTCAGTAATGTAATACCACCTCGGAATGATATCTTTGTTTCCTGGTTGGAAGTGTCATTAGTGATCGGGGACAGTCTGCAGAGTGCAGGGAATGTCCCCACCTGAGCACCGTCCATGGAAGGTTACAATGAGAAAACCCCAATTATTGTACACCAGAAAAGGTGAAG